CTGTTCCAAACGGCAATTGCAATAGCACTCATTCGTATCATAGCTTACCAGGCCATCAAGAAGTCCTGGTCCGTAGTGAACATAGCGTAGGGCGCCAGCGACGGGCCACCGTGGTTGCTGCTGAGCCACCGACACACCGGCAAGGGCTTGTACTGCCGGATCGCCTCGCCGCTTGGACCTGCCTCCGTCACGCACTTGACAACGTCGAAGGAGGCAAGCAGCCGCATGATGCGGTCCACCGGAGCCGACCCGCCGGCCTTGTCCATGGTTGGGAGCCGCGCGGCTAACTCATCCGCCGTAATCGCGAGGCTGCCGGCGTTGCTGAGCGCGTCAAAGATGCCCAGCTCGATTGCTGCTTTCAGGGTCATGGAGACCGCGAAGCTGGTGATGAGCCCCCACGCATGTAACCATGTCCCCTCGTCGTCGTCACCAGCGGCCGGATTAATCCTACTTCCGCTCACAGTATTGTTATCCATTGATACTTGGATGGTGCCTATAGCTTGTATGGTTCCTTGGTGGTGCCTGAAACAAGGTAAGCATATATAGGGAGAGATCACATCCAGTTCTGAATAAATAAAGTAGAGAAATTATGGGTGTTCCACTATACAACTTCTAAATGTGCAGGCTGCCACAACTTTGTTAAATCGTGGTTGTGCCACCAAACCGTGCGGAGAAATTGCACGGAAATCACAACGCGACATTAGCTCTTGTTGCCGTCTTCTTTGGCCCATTTCTTCCTATGCAAGTTTTATCACTTGACCGTGTCACCAACAATGAAGAGAAGACTCATTTGACCCTTTCATCCAATCTGGCGCTCGATCGAGTCCAACGGTATAACCCATTCTTTCGTGGCCACCGCCACGCACACCACAACGCAACTACACGCCATCCTTTGCCTGTTTGCTGCTGTTCCTGCTCCGTCGCCTCCTCAATTCCGCCGTATCCTCACTCCTGGAAGCATACTCCTTACATTTATGTACGATTCAAAATTCATCCATTCCAGTCCCGCAAGCACTCCCAACAATGGCATCTACTGCGTGCACTAGTTTCCTGCCTCGGTGCACCCTTTTCCGTGCCAGAATGCACCACTCAAGGAAACATAGTCCAGACTGCGCCCCCTTGAATGATCTATAACATTGTAGTACAACAACGTTAGGATCCCATTTTGCTTGACGGATATTCACAGGGGCACGCACCTACCAAGCCCTATCCGGCCGCTTGATTGCCTCATGATTCGTGAAGTAGTTGAATCTTGCACGAGGGCACATAAAGTTTTAATTTTCAGCGTCGAAACATAGGGTTTTTGCATCTGAAACTTTCAAGTTTCATAGATATAATTTAAACAATTTTTTCCGTTGGTCGTACACATAAAATACTTGACTATTATCGGTCGCTTGAACTAAGTTTCAACATTGAAACTTAACTTATATTTCTAAAAGACATCAAAATATATTCAAAACTGGTCTTATTTGAAAGTGTTGGTTACGAGAAACATGAATATGCAAATACTATAACTTAACTTAGAAAAAACTATAACTTAACTTGGAATTTTCATTAGAAGATATATAACTTGAAAAATCGGAAGCGAAAATAAAAAGCCCACACCCGTGACTCGCGTGCTGTAAAAAATCCTCATCCTTTTGCCTGACCAATGTTTACAGTTTTTTTTTTGGAAAAAATTCTCTTCAGTTTTTTGTGCAAAGCATTGGCAGGTAGTACTGACAGCTGGTCAAACCTCTATATATAGCTTATCTAACGGAATGCATATTGTCCGACGTCTCTTATGTCCAAAGTATTAGTGGAACATTTGTTCAAAGCCTTTACTAGACCCGTGCAAATGTCTGGTAGTGCACACATGAAAATGGAAGTGGTGTCGCGGCAAACATAAATTGGAAGTAAATAAATAAAACAGCATCTAGTGACCGCCGGCCGTGTTGGTTGAGACATTTTTATACTGCCGGCAACGACGCTTGTCAGGACCTGTGCCTTTTGCTTCGGCATCACTATGACACCTGCTTGCCTCAATGGATGCATTTGTTCCATTTGGTACGTCCAACCATCGGGGGCTCCCAACGCGTCTAGTTTTCTTCTTCTTTGTGACATGACATGAGCTCGTGTAAAGTTGATGTGACAGCAGAAGTGCAACACGTGCAGCTTCATAAGAATCAGACGGACCTGCTTGCTCGGTTGACCAGATTCAACGTGATCGAACGGCCAGGAAGATCCCAATCCAAGGGAGCTCCGTGTAGGAGGGTCGGCTAGCATCCTTATAGGTTTAAATGACATCTCAGCCAGTTATACGGATCTGCTGTACGCACCTGCAGTGATTGCATGTTTCCATATATATCAATATATGGCCATGATTTTTAAAGGATTGTGATTCTACAAGCATTTAGTTGATAAGTTGAAGTGCTTATGAGGTTCATGCCAAGACATGATTGAGAATACTGGCCGGCAGCAGGCTAGCAGCTCGAGTGTCTATATTAATTTGATCTACTTCAGATCAATGAAAAAATAGCATGCTATGAAAAAATAGCAAGGCCTTCAAAATATTCTATTATCATACTATTAGTGATAAATTGTACATTGATTTATTTAGCAAGGCATTTCTTAGAGCGCAATGGCATGCTATTAGCGACACTATAGCGCGCCATTTTTTCACTGCTCCAGATGCAGGTGAAGGTAATATATCAATCAGGTATGATATAATTCATGTGTGCCATAGATTTTGGTAGTTCATATGTGCATCTATTTTCTGATGCATATATGTGTAGATTTGGGTGCAGGCGTTGAATTTTCTGATAGTTTTTAATGCAACGTGTGATAACTACACATATGTATATATATTTATCATAACTAGGAGAAATAAATATTAAAAAAGATTGTATGCTGAGATCTCCATACCAATTTTACTAACTCAATGTAATAATAATAAGCCTGATGTTTGTCATCTGTCAGAAACATGTGATACACACAGACCCATATATGTGTTGCAGATTTTAAAAAGTTATAATCCCACCTTACCTCCGTCAGATACTTTTGAGATCTATCTGCTGTAGTAGTTTAACAGAAAAGTGAAAGAAGTGCAAATTTATAGACATAACTTAAATGAATGTCTGCATGCATTCCTGATAAAGAAAAACTTTGACTGATTAATTTTGAAAATACGCTCTTGCCGACACAAGACCAAATTCAATAGCTCCTAAATGAGTGATCTCCATGAAGAAAAAAATAGTAGGCGCATATAGTACTTTAGTGACAAGAAAATCTGCAGATTGGCCATGAATGAAGAGGGGTGGTCCTTGGTGAGCGAAGGCGTTGATGAGCACACCGTTGCCCTACAATGTGAAGTGCTGAGGAGGCCCATGCCAAGAGCTGGTGGTGAGTATTGGCCTATTGCAGCTGCATGAGTTTCTTTGGTCTACATTTACGTGGCGATGAACGGGATCCATTTGCTCTAGATGCGGGCAAAGGTAATTGTTTCAAGCAGGTTTGATCTATGTCGTACACGCTAACAAGTTGGAGGTTTGATTATTATCTTGTGTGAGCTTTAAATTTGGGCAAATTCTTCACTTAATTTACTGCTTTTCGCATGAAGCACATATATGGCTAGTGATGACAAGTAAATATATTTACTTGGTTCATTGACTGCAGCGTGTGGGATTTGCCGATACCTTGGCTCAAGGTATGATAACTACACATGTCTACTTATGCCATTATTAGGAGAATAGTGCAAATAGTACTAAAATCATCATGTGCTCAAATTTCCATGATAATATAGAGCTACAAGGTTATAAAAATAAGCCTTCCAGTTATCATCTGTGAGAAAGATCTCATGCGCACACACACAATTATCCATGTCATGAACCGATATGACTTGTGTGTTTTCAATGGCAAATAATTAGAATTCCCCACTTTTCCTCAATAGGTTTTTCTTAGAAATTTAATCATTAACCAAAAAAATCAGGTCTTCTATCTGATGAAGTTTAACAATTTTTTTTGTAAACATGACAATATATTTTCATGTAATATAAATGGTTTCAATATCGCATCTTTCCTGACAGAACGAATAAAGTGCATGGATTCACTACATATTACCAGGAGAGAATGAATGCCCACATATACTCCCTATAGAACACTTTGCATGAATATGTTATGTAAATATGATCTTAAAAATGACACGCAAAGCATGCTCAACGTCTCTAAACCATAACACAAAACTCCGCCATAATTTCTGGGGAAAAAGGATAACAAATGATAAATCCACCGAATTTTGCATTTTCAAAACTAGATCTACCAATACACATGCAACCTTCATGAAATATAGTTGTGCGTCAATTGATGGCTGGAGAAGAGTATACATGCAAACAGTACTATCACAAATTGATGGAGCTGTTTAACTTGATCCTTTTATCTACCAAATTAGAAATTAAATACTATTACGCTGATCAAAATAGTATCCTCAATGTTCGTATATTTAAAAACCAAAAACACTAGCCCCTGCAGGTACACGGGTTTAATGACTAGTGTATAAATACCGAAAACACTAGCCCGTGCAGCTGCATGGCTTTAATGACTAGTATGTCTAATTAAGAGCATTATTCGCTTTAGCATCCCAAACATATGCAGTATGCAGTAATCACTGCCAATGTAAATAGATGGTTAAGAAGCGCATTGATTAGGAAGAGAGGGAAAAGAAACAGGCAGCTGAACCGGACCTCTTTGAGGATGTAGACAATGCCGTGAATACATTATGAAATAACTAATAAGAAACATAATGTTGAACGTTACTAAAATACACGAGGTACATCAGGAGCACATACAAGAAAGTTTTTGGAGGAAAACACATATCGATTCTTACAGCAGAACCACAACAAAACGTCAAAAACCATTGATAATGGAAACTCAGAACAGCCATCACACCGTCGCTCTCGTAATCAATTATAGTATCGGTGATTTTATGCTGTTGGTGAACAGATAAAGTGTGCTTTGCTGATTGATCATGCAGTGGCTGCAATCGGGACGCTGTAGAGGACGAGTGTCTCGACGGTGAGGCCTGGGCCGAAGCCGAAGAGCACACCCCACTCCTTACTCTCTCCTGTGGTGGCGTGGCCATCCTGGGAAGAGGTCTTACGCATCACGTCGAGGACGAAGAGGACACATGCACTGGACATGTTGCCGTACTCCGACAGGACCTCTCGACTGGCGCGCATGCGTTCCTTGTCAAGGCCAACTTTCTCCTCGACCATGTCCAGGATCGCCGGGCCGCCAGGGTGTGCGATCCAGAAAATGGAGTTCCAGTCGTCGATGCCCAGAGGCTTGAAGGCATCCTCGAGCGCCTGCTCGATGTTCTCGGAGATGAGCCCGGGAACGTCCTTGAGAAGGTGGATGGTGAGCCCCGCCTCCGTAAGGTGGCCGTTGATGGCGTCCTCGGAACCGGGCAGGATGGTCTGCCTCGCTGATACCAGCTGGAAGAGTGGCTTCTCGAAGGGCTCGTCAGGGTCCGCACCAATGATGGCAGCGGCTGCGCCATCGCCAAAGAGTGCATGGCCGACCAGCGAGTCCAGATGGGACTTGCTCGGGCCACGGAAGGCCATGGCGGTGATCTCCGAGCAGACCACTAGCACACGTGCGCCGCGGTTGTTTTCGGAAATGTCTTTGGCCATGCGGAGCACGGTGGCACCGCCGAAGCACCCTTGCTGGTACATCATGAGGCGTTTCACCGTCGGGGAGAGGCCGAGCAGCCTGGTGAGTTGGTAGTCGGCGCCCGGCATGTCCACTCCGGAAGTGGTGCAGAAGATGACGTGGGTGATCCTGGACAGCGGCTGGCCCCACTCCTTGATCGCCCTCTCTGCCGCCTCTTTCCCGAGCTTGGGGACCTCGACGACGACAATGTCATGGCGCGTGTTCAGCGACGGCTCCATGTGGGAGCAGATGCTGGGGTTCTTTTTGAGGATTTCCTCAGTGAGGTGCATGTGCCTCTTCCTGATGGTGGACTTCTCGCACATCCTCTCGAACTTCTCCTTGAGGTCCGGGAGGTGCTCGCTCTTGGTGACCCTGAAGTAATAGTCCGGGTAGGTGGCCTGGTACACGCAGTTGGCCGGGACGGCCGTGCCGATTGCTAGCACAGTTGCCAGGCCCTCAGCCCGCTGTGCCCTTCTCACTTCCTCCAACTTCACCGCTGCCATTGATCAGCACCAAGGAGTACTCGCTAAGTAGCAAGGGCTTGCTAGCAAGGGTTCGTAAGGTGCACTTAACGTAAGATTTTTATTTCTCAACTCTGGTGATAGAACTCACTGGGAATGCTCCCACTTTATAGAACATGATTTGCTAACGGATTCAATTTTTTTTATATCGGAGTTGAATACACCGACGACTGAGCTGGTTTGTTTTCTTAATTCTGATGGGAGCGCCTGCAGCTTAGAGAAACTCTACCATAATAGCGGTCTTAAGGGGCACGTACGGTGCGCAAAAAAAAATCAGCTTAATTTAGCAGTCGCGGCAATGTTTTGAATTTTGAAAGCAAGAACCAAAAAGGAACTCGCCCAGTGAATTTGCCATGTTCCGGCCACTGCAAACAGGACACGGCTGGACGGGTCGGCAATCATTAAAATTGCTGAGTTGTTATTATAAGGAACTCGACAAAACAAAAGAGCAACTACTGCCGAGTACGTAAAAAGGAGAACTCGTCAAACACAGGGTGGTAGACGAGACACGCTGTCAACGGCGATGCCACATGGCATGCACGTTTGCCGAGTTCCGTCTAGGCAGACGTAGCACGCCTTGTTTTGCCTAGTTCCATCTGACAAAGAGTTGACAGATCCTTCGCCAAGTTCCTGGCACGCGGTTTGCCTAGTTCCATCTGACAAAGAGTTAATTAAAATCCAAAAAATATGCTCTAAAATCCCATGTTCATCAGAAAATACTAAACATCAATAAAAAGGATCTTTTACAATTATGAAACCATGACCGCTTGATCCACGTAACATAGTATGATGGACCAGAGATGTCATATAAATACCTAATAGACCATCATCGTTAACTTGATGTTAGCCTAAGCCAGGAGAAATGTCCTATTGGTTTACGAGAAACCCTATCCAATCTCTTCTGCTAAGCGAAAAAGGAATAACAGAAAAGCTACCATAGCAAGTTGGGACGTGGCCGCCGGCATTCCATGACGCAAGTACTTGGCTGGCCGGCTGCAACATCCTTCAAGTGCCGATCAAAATTTGAACGATAAAGAGGAAATAAACAGTAGTGGTTCCCGTAGCCGGCCGGCCGGCCTGCCGAAACGTCCTTCATCCTTGGTATATATGAGTGTCCTATACCAGTTGGCGTCTTCATCAATCATGGTAGCTTTGACCTGAGGAGGCTGGTACTTACTTGACCCATTATCTCAAACTATCCAAGCCTAGATGGAGGTTCTCCTTGGATGCACGTCCTTCATTTCTGTTTTTAAATTCTTTTTTGCCGTCTTCCGTTAATAATAGGACACATGGAAGCTGATGTGCGTAGCGATAAAGCAGCAGCGATAACGACCCATGGTATCACCATGCTACTTGGGGAAGCAGGGTACATCGGATGAGCCAGCATACCCCCAGATATGTGTCTTTCCACGTCCCAACAGATGTGCTAAAACTTAATGCCACCTTCCTCCTACAGCTAAATAGTTTCTAAACTATGCTTATGGGACAACCAGTGTAAGATGTGACTTAAGCGTGATTAAAGTTTCATTTTATGTTTCAAAGATTTGCACAATACATGCATTACTAATTTCTTCCAAAACAATATATCTATATATCTATCTATCTATCTATCTATCTATTATTATATGATAGAAGAAAAGGAACAGTGGGGATTTGTTAAACTCCAGTTATGGAAATTTAACGGTGGAGATTCATCATCTTATATACGTAGGCTTGAGTAGATGAAAAAAAATCTGTGATACAAACAGGCTACGTGCAGTTAGGATCCCTATTCAGGTTGTATTTATTTGCCAGAGAGTTCCCTGTTCACATGCACATCGTTCGTGTGAGTCCTGCGTTCCTTTATGGATTTGTCTTACAAGATATTGTCTGTAGGCCATGTAAAAATCAAATATATATACAAAACGATAAAATCCGAACATCGAACTTTTTACCATGGCAAATCGAACGTGTTTTATGGCAATTGTAGTTGACACGAGTATGGCAACTTAGTTTGCGAGGACGGCAATTTTCTGGTAAAAATAAAACTGAGGGCGAATTCACCATGCATATCAAGTTATCAACTAAACTTGCCATGGTCAACAAATATAAATCGCCCACCTGCAAAAAAAATTGCCACAAAAAACTTCTATTTGCCATGGTCAAATCCCAAACGTTTGGGACTTATTGGCATCCCATTTAAAAGGTCATAGCATGCACATTATCCTCTCCCCAAGGCTGCTTGAAAAGCCAGAACAATTGTTCTCTCGATACATTCGTCCTGTGCAGCTCACAGTGTCTACCGGCAAGATACAACGCCTCCAAACTAGCGGGCACCAACTGGCCGGGCGGCCTACTCAATGCAATAGTAGTACTACCACATCAAACTACTCAAGCTAAATTATTCCAGAGAGCCGAACAGGTGCAGCATCTACCAAGGGCCGCACAATGAGCCATTCATACTCGGTGAAGACCATCGGATCGCTTGCCGTCGCGTGCATTCTTGGCAGCCTGACATCCGACATCTCAATCCAGCTGTGGTTGCGTGGATGCACAAAAAGTTCAGCCGCATATAATAATATGAAGTTTATTTTTCACACGAAAACAAAAAAGAGACCGTCATGGCTGCTCCGACCACTTCAACTCTGGTCGACTGATGTGTGGTGTCCTCTCGGTGTCTCGCGGCCTCCGGGTGCATGCTACCACCATCGGAACCGCTAACCCAGGGCCTCCTAGAACTTGATGACCGACACATTAATTATCATGTAGTTTGAGTTTTTCCAAATCCTAATCAGCTGGTTTTTTGTTGATAGCAACATGATCAATTGGTTGCATACTATTTCATAGCCAGACTAGGCGATGTTCCTCTACATGCATGGCACCACGGCCAGGATGCAGGCCACTCGGAGCTTATGGTCGGCGCTGCCATGTTGGGCAGGTGGTGGTTTTACATCTGTAGTTGTACACGCTTCCGACGGCCACATTTTTCCACATGATGCCGACACACTTATGTAATCGACTGGCATGCCTTTGATATCAAGGCTGACAAATCTGGAGCGAAAAAATAGAATGCAAGTAGACCCTTGAGCATTGGTGCATCTACATAGGTTTAGTTCTGTATATTCTTCATGTTCATAATTGCCTAACTTTGTGAGTCATTGTTGATCAACCCATAATTTTTTAACGATAATGGTAAACACACGGACCCTATACGGACCCACCCCCCTTGATTTTTGCCAACTGAAACTAACCTTGTAAAACCCCTGTAAAAGTCTGTTAGTGTAGCATTACTCCTTTTAATCTTAGTATAGCCATAAATCAAGTAGATATGGTCTTGCCAATGATATCGTTTTAAATTCGGACTTGAAAATGGTATATTAATTAATTTGTGAGAATACGATCAAACAGATTTGTCAAGAAAACTATTATCATCATCTTAAATTATATGCGTAAAAATAAGTCATATGAAATAATGGTTAATGATGTGTATGATTGAAGTGAACATTACATGCTTGGGAGAAGGGATCTGGCAATCCCACCACCCCTACAATATACATTCATATAACTTCTTATTTATACATTATTTTTTAAATACAAAGTTGTTGATTATGCTCAGGGGCAAATTGATACTACATATCTCTTCACAAATGGGTTGAAGGTGTGTGTGCCTCTTCCTTTTCTTTCTAATCTGAACCACTCCCTTTTCTCGCTTCTGCCTAATCCAAACACTGATAGGGACTCCATACTTCCATCCTTATGGAAGTCATGTGCTGGGACGACGGTGGAGGCGATTGATGTAGAGCTAACGAAGAAGCAGCTGTTAACAACAAGCATGAGTGATCCACACATACATCCATGTATTGCTACCTAAGCGCTTTAACACAGATTAATTGGTAAATATTGTTGTTCTACTTTGATAACTGATTTCTGACTAATTCCTATGTTATAATATTCTTCTTGAATTTAACAGTTTATGCTAGTGGTAATTTACAACTAGCAAAAAAATAGAAGTGGCAAATCATGTCAATCAATGCACTAGGTAAATGGGACACCTAGAGTAATATGAACAAGGTATTCATTTAATCAAAAAGCACAACTGCAACGAACAATGCCGAGGTAGAGGGTATAGATAAGCATGCCAACCATTCATATACTATTGAATTATTGACAGAAAATATAAGACCATACAAACTTTAAGCATCAACCACGTATACACACTTTAAGCAACATCACATGCGCTGAATAATAGATATTGTTGGATAAGCAAGCTATGGGTGGACTTCGATGAGGGATCGCATTCCCAAGACGTTGTGAATTTTGTAGTGACTAAATCCGGCTTCCATGAACATCTTGTGCCAGTTGTGCTCCTCCCTTGCTTTACCATTAAATAACATCATCATGGCCAAATCCATGGTGACCTGGGCTTCAAGCATTTGGTGTGAGGGTGATCCAACGACGGTATCAATGATTATCAACTTGCCAGCTCTGGCTCCGTGGGAAATGGCCTGTCTACATCGCGTGAGGATCTTCACGCAGTCCTCATCGCTCCAGTTATGCAGCACATGCTGCCAATCGGATTAACCATAAGTAACTTTAGTTTAAAACTGCGACACTTATTATGAACCGCAGAGTAGGAATCAGATGATGTCATTAATTAGTAAAAATTGAAGTTACTTAGTACTATGATATACCTTAAGCAGAACAGCATCAGCGGGAGGCACAAACTCCATCATGTCACCAGCAACGAGCTCAACTGTGCCATCACGCCAGATTCCCTGTATCACATGTGGGAGTTCCAACACCGAGCACTTGACTCGTGGGAA